GACTATGATAATATAAAGACATTTTAATATTTTGCAAACAACAGGCAGTTTATGTTCCATCAAATCAAAACAAACTAATGTCTTCACGTCCTTATTCCTGTATGTCTTTTGACCGAACTAGGTGTTTCTATATTAAAATTTACCCACAAAAGCAATAAAATTGTGTTTAAAGAGCACATACTAACTGATTAAACAGTTGAAATGATATAGACTTGGAAAAGGTCGAAAATTATTGGAAACAAAATTATCTTAAACATATCATAAAAATACTTCATTATGTTGGTGAGTGACAAATAATTCTGTTTACTTTCAGTACATACAAAATTTGATAATATTCATTACTTTCTGTAGTAAGAAAACAAACATTGGCTGGAAGATTTGACGGTTTGTTTATTTAAGTTCATTAAATTTGATGAAGTTTAGTGATTAATTAAATGTAATCGTTAATTCATACGGCTGTGTTAACTAAATACCTAACAACAATTAACTTTAAATTGAAGAGTAAATTGTGTGTACCGGCACTAACTGGTGCTTTTCATCTAGTACTTAATTCAGACAGAATCTCAGTCACCAAATTGATAACTTGATGACTAAAATAGAATAAAATTTAACCACCTCTCAAAGACGAGATTTTATTGTTTTATAGTATTGCTTTCATCAAATATGCGTGTGTATGTATATGTATATATAATGACTGATGAGAGATGATTCTTATTCAGATGTATACGCTGAAGTATATTTGCAATAAATTTAACGTTTTTCGGAAAAAATTCACTCAAGTACTTTACCAGTTTCAGTTGTTATCTGCAAATTAAATGTTTTCGGATGTTACTACTAACCAGTAGAATAGTATTATGTAATAAAATTTTCTCTTCTAAAAGAAAATATTTGATTAATCAACTGATTTAATAGATAAATTATAGCTGGTTGACAAAGAAATCTTGTAAATTTATTGCATACAGTTATCTCATGACTAATGCATATGTAAATCTTCAAATATGGTACTTTAATATGTTTGCTTCTTAAAACCAAGTAAGTTTACAAAGTATAAACAAAAATACAAAGGGATTTTGTGTATGGAAATAAAGTTAAATAAAACGTCAAGTAAATAATAAGCGGTTATTTAAAATACAATACAAAAATGATGAAATGTAAAACGAGTAATAAGTTTGTCTAGAGGTCAGTCACTTGAATAAAGACCAAAGGTTCTGGACTCAGTCCCCTGTTAGATCATGGAAACGCAGTGCTATGGAGAACCCTCATGGGACGAAACAATTTTTTGGCTCTTTCTGATTTTCGATAGCTGCAAAACTAATCATTTTGTGATGAAAAATGAAAATGACTGCAAATATCTGTGTAGATACATTACAGGGAATGAATAGTACTTCGATAAAACGAGTCCTCAAATACACATTTCTAATTGTCTCGACACATTTGAGAAACTGTTTTCTCATAGCCGTGACAGGACCTGAATCAACTGAAACTTTCTGTTTTGAAATCACTCCTGTCTTTAGAATCATTGTTAGTCATTATTGCATAAATATTACTGGGTCTTAAATGGCTTATCTCTAAAAGAGAAAACTTGAAATGTTGCTGTATTCACCTAATAGCGATAATGAAAAGGCGATATTACGTAAATCTGTTTTATATTAGAACTATGATATAATTATTACGGGAGATCGAAGCAGAACACACGGACCTTCCTATAAATTTCATTCCATCAACGATCGGACATCAGACAAATCAAGTGTGGGAAAGCAGCAGGACTTGACAATATATTAGCCGAAACACTCAAGTCAGACATAGAAGTAACTGCAAGAATGCATCACGTTCAAATCAGGAAGATTTTGGAGGAAGAACAAGTGCCGATGGACTGGAGAGTAGGGAACCTCATCGAGAAAAAAAGTAAGGAGATTTGAGCAAGTGTGAGAACCACAGAGGAATCATACTACTATCGGTACTAGGAAACTCTTCCAACAGAGTATTGTTGAACCGGATGAGAGATTTAACAGTTGCCCAACTTGGAGATCAAAGGGCTGGATTCCGCAATGAATGGCTGTGCACAGACCAAATCGCGACATTACGGATAATTGTTGAGCAATCAACTGAATGAAACTCGTCGCTATACAACAACGTCCTTGGTTATGCGAAGGCGTTTGACAGCAAGGGTTGGAGAACCTTATAGAACATTCTCAGACAACGTAATGTGTTTACAAAGATCGTCAACATCATCCGAAATTAACATGACGGACAACAGTGTATAGGTGTGCGTGGAGAACAGCTAGCGGGCTCGCTCCAAGTGAGGACCAGTGTCAGCAAAGCTGCTATCTCTCCCCCTTTCTCTTTCTTCCGGTGATTGGATGAATTATGGAAATACTCATGTTGACATTTGGTAAATAAAGAAGGAATGAATCGAGTGAAGAAATTTCTTCGCAATTAGTTTTTCATCATGGCTCTACGCTAATATATATATGATTTACAATAATGATATAATACTCATCGAGCGGATATGTTACGTAACAATTGCATAATGACATTTAAGTTCTATTCTCTCTCACGTGGTTGACACATGTCATCAAGTTGAATTGAATAAAGCTTTTAAGGTTATCTACCACATCCCATCAAATTTGCCACATGGTATATGAGTGCGCATTTTGCACATCGCTGAAGCCATCGCAATCCATGTTCACAAATCTAACCTTTCCATTCGAAAGAGATTTTTACAACCACTTTCGCTGCCTTGGCCGTTGGTATAAGATTTACCTCAACGGAACTATTTTTCGTACTTCTTCCATTTGGTTTTTCTCTTTTTTTTAATTTTTTTTTGTTTTTGAGCTTTATAATTTCTCAACATTCATCTCTTAATTCTTACATAACTACTATTCTATTGACCATCCATTAAAAAATTCTGTTCCTTCTCTTTTTCATATATTACGCAACGTAGCGACTTCTTGATTTAATAATTACTTTGAATAATAACAATCCACTTTCTTCCAGTTCCTCAATGTTAATTTAAATGTCATTATGTAATTGTTACGTAACATATCCACTCGATGAGTATTATTTCATTGTTGTAAATCATACATACATAAAATCATGAAGACTCTGACATCTGAGGGGAAACACGGAATAAAACGGACAGGTTGTATGTAAGTAGACAATTCAGACTTCACAGATAACCTAGCTTTTTTATTCAACACACACGAACAAATGTAGTTGAAGGCAACTAGCCTGTGAAGCAGTAGCTCTTAATATGCACAAAGGTAGAACCAATATCCTTAAATACGACATGTAGAAAAACCCAATCACACTTTATGGACAAGTTCTGAAAGAGGTGGGTACTTTCACTTACATGGGCTGCATGATCGATGACCGATGAAGATCTGATGCAAATGAAGAACATACGGAACTAAAAAAACTGTCTATAAGCCAATATCAAAGTCACAGTCTTAAATACGTTTGTCGAGACAGTTCTACCATACGAAGCTCAGACGCGGAGAACTGCCACAACCATAATCGAAACGGTACAGGTATTTATGAACAATTGTCTACAGAAGATACTGAATATCCGTTGGCCGGATATCATCAGCAACAGCGTTAATTTTCGCGTCATATTATTTTGCGACTAAAACGGTTAGAGAATGCAATGTTTTCTCATCAGAAAACGTTTCTTAATAATTTAATAATACATTGGTAAAAAACCTTGTATAGTTGATCCCCTTCTTATTCTTAACATAAAAGAATGTTTCAATCAAGCAAATAATAAATAATGTGAGATCTCTGTCTTACAGCTACCATTCAACTGGTATTTCAAAGACAGTAAATTAATTTATTTATTCAGCAAATTGTATCATTTCTTTCCCGAATCCACAATACGTTTTGTCACTCACACGATTATTCATTATTGAATATCTTCCTAGAAATTACCATTATTCAACTGATCATAATTACGTAGCTTGTGTTGAATCTGTGTTTGTTAGTGAATTTCTGAAAAGGTTTGCATCAAAGAATGTCTGGTGCCACTATGTTTAAATATACTAAAAATGCATTAGGCACAAATCAAGACAACACGTATTGCTTTCAGCTATACCACATGGCTAATGTTATGTCTGTGTTGTATGTTGAACGATATCACGCGCCTAAATCGCCATTCACGATATAGTAAGATGCAAAACAACAGTTAATAGGTCTACTGGAAAATTACAATAAGAATTGTGCAAAAATACTATAATACAGTTATCTAGTAGTTATACAGTGAGATTATATATCATAATAATAACCCGTAAGATATTTTCAAAGGTCTTTACTTTTCCAACGTTCCTTGTTTTACAACAGCTACAATTGATAAAGTATGTTAAAGAGAAGCTGAGAATTTAATATTTTACCATCATCAAGCGCCTTAGCAAGCGTCTTTCTTTGTAGTTTGAAAATGGTTAGAATTAATCAATACGCAACCCATTCCTAATAGGCCTAGGCCATAGTAACCATGTAATGGAATTTAAAACAGTATTGTACGCCTAAATGTGTCAGTACATTGTAATTTTGAAAACTTTTCTGACTCACAGATTAAATGGTTTAGGCCATAAATGTGACTTTACTGTACATTTGTTTCACTTGCTTAATTTTTATTAATGTGAAAATTATTAAACATTGTTTTGCAACGAAAACTAGGCAATATTGCTGAATTTCGCTGCAGTAATCGTCAATAGAAAGGTTTACATAATATCTGTCCATATATGAGGTGTAATCGTTGAAATATCCAGTGGGTTTTAGCATTTTTGACTTAAAACTAATTATCAAAACTAGTTACAATGAAAATCAAGAAATATCTAACTTATAAGTTCGGTTTCGAATACAGATTCAGCTTATTTTTTCAGTGTTTATTTCAGTGATGTTTTGGATTAAACGTATTTTGATTAAAGAACTCTTAGTCTTCTTTTACTTTCATGAAATATCCATAACTGTCTAGTAAATCCTTCGTAGTTTCAATAGTTATTAGCCATCATTCCAACTTTCTTTCAACATTGTGAGTCATTATAATGTCATCATATCTATATATCTAAATCGAATGGTCTATCGAGGATATTTTTGTACCATACAATTACTTTGCACATTTTCATTTTATTTATAATCGGCAAATAATTCTTTTTTATGACAACCTATGAATGTTAGTGTTCTTTCTCCATCCCAATACTTCGTAACAAACAAAGTAATCACTTCTTGAATAACTCTTTGGGTCAAACACTGTTGGATGCCAACTCAGTGGTCTAAAGGTTGGGTTCGTGCACGAGACTGATAGGTTCTGAGTTCAAATCTCGCGAGGCCTGATCGTGAATTCTCACTGCTAAAGATTCTCATGCTAAGACAAAGTGGTCATTCAGTAGTTCCAGGTTTTTCATAGTGGTCTAGATTCAAATAACTAAAACAAGTGTCAAGATACAGTGTTATTCTCCCAAATATTCTCTATCGTTCGGTTTGTATGTTTCTTATCAGTTCCATCTGGAACAACATATCATTTCTTAAGTGTTAAAAATTGTACATACACTAATCATTGAAATATAATAATTACCATCAAAATAAGTTTTAATATGTGAAATAAATAGCCAAGAAATAAAAACACTCAATATATTAAAACAATAATGATATATTCCTTTTCTTTTCAATTACCAACATAATATAATGCAATCAATGAAGACAAATATACGAAAAGTCAAGTACATTGAATAGATCCATAAATTTTTATTGTTCAATATAATTATCTTCATAAGTTCTTTTAGAAGTTATTCTTTTATCCAGATTTAAATAGAAGGAATGCTCGATCATCCAAATAGAAATATATAAAATTATGTGTTTCATGTGTTACATAACTTTATTATGTAATGATGAATAAATAAAAGGAAAAGAGAAATAGAGAGAAAAAATGTGCATTTAATTATTGATATAAAATTATTGAAAATTGAAGGAAATAGTTCCTAATATATCGATTTCTAAACCTGATTTAAATTAAAGCAGGTAAATATCTTATCGATTTATCATACATTCGGATTTGTAAATGATTCCAATTCAATTCAATTGATGAAATCATAGATAAAAAGAAGTTGAACCAAAACGATTATGTATAGTTTAGTTTGATTGATAGTTTTTGAATAGTACATTTTGAGAATTTGTATTATGGAAATTACAAGTTATATAAACAAAGATGCATGGTGGTTTGTAGTGGAATCAAAAAAACGTGAGTTTCATCCTAATTTGTACTCGTCAGCTAGATGTACCCAAAGTTGATTTACACTCTGGGACTTGAACCCTGGTACTGTTCACTTTAAAAGCTATCATATTATCCACTTAATTACTGACCCTTAATAACCACTTACTTGTACAAATAAATAATACAAGATGGAAAATACAGTTTAATGTTCAGTATTATCAATGAAGATTACATTTTGAATTGTAGAATTATAGCATTTTATATATGTACATGTATAGACCTATACATAAATGTCTTGTAATTTCTTAATCTATTAAAAGTGTTGAATTAATATTATTTAACAAATGATACCTTAGTAATCATGATACATATATAAAATATGATTTATTCATTCATTAATAATTAAACTTACCTTCCAAAATTTCGTCCAACAATACAATGCCATGTAGGATTATATTTACGATCAAATTCTTTTTTAATATTAGCAGCTATATCTTTTTCTAAATCATGTTTATCTAATGCACCAGCAGCTATATGTATTGCATCCTCTTGCATTTCATTACTCATATCAGCATTTTTAATTACAGCTTTACGTTCACCCATATTGTAATAATAATAATAATAATAATTTTAATTGAATTCAAATACAATTATTATTATTATTGTTATATAATTTAGAGAAATTTGTACAATTTTTATAGTATTTATTTTATATTGTGTTAAATTAGGGTATTCATAATTTCTTATTTCATTTTAGTAGCATAGCTTCAAATGAATGAGCTATTATGATTTAATGAATGAAATTGTTCATATACATGTATATATATTTATATATATACATATCTAATATGATATACACAACATTCAAATGTGATTAGCTTAGAGTTAAATAATTTATTTAGGATAGTGATAAGATTGATTAATTAGTTAAATGAACTATTAGACAATATCAATGAATTAATTTATTAAATTACAAATATGTTCATTTGTAAACATGTGGAAAAGTCTATTTAAATAATGATGATGATGATAATGATAATCATTCAGTCAGTCAGTAACAATGTAGAACTTCGTACGTACGTACAACAGTTCGAGTTGCCATACTAGATGAGCATAGAAATGCAGTTGTCGATTCAAATCCCGTAGTGGTAGAGGTAGTAAGAGTATAAGCAGTAATCGGAAAGATTAGGGGTTGAAGGTGTTATTTATAAAGTATAATTTAGTGAAATAAATTTGGGAAGAGAAAGAAGAGACAAGGAGGAATCAGGAGATTAGAATTTGGGAGAACACAAAGAGTGGATCTGTAATGGTTGAATATATATATATATATATATATATATATATATATATATATTGGTGAGACTGATCTGATACAGCGGGCACATTATTAACACTTCAGTGAATGTGTATTATTTTTGTAACAATGCATATCTGTTTCTTATGACAGAGAGGTAAGATTCATTACTACTGAGCGATTTGAAACGCAAGGGCATCTTCGAAAAGAACATTTTCACTAGCCCTTTTCAAATAAAACTTGTTGATGTAAATACGTTCTATACTCTATCACATTAAGAATGTTATAACTTCAAGTTTCATTGTATTGAATTGGATCAGTCAATGAAAAACAGTTTATTGAATATCTTAAAGAAACAGGTTAGATTTACTTTAAGACTCAGCTTCTATAATAGCATGAAGTCTTTGATAAATGAATTTATGGTTTAAAGTAAAATGATTAAATGGAAACGGATTGTAAAGCACTGTTAAACAGGTTTCGAAGCTTATACCTGGTGAAAACACTACTCAGAATTAAGGTGGAGTATTCTAGGATCACAAACGTTATTCTCATGAAAGATGTGAGTATACAAGTGAAAAGTCGTTGAGAACTTGTTGAAATTTGTTCTGCGAAAGACATATTGTAGTGATATCTGAGTCCACTGAATGAAAATTAGATAGGACCTTACCATTCATATCGTGTATATCTGCATTTAGTAGTACTAATTTACAAAACCCGTTTTGAGCTTCATAAATAGACTTTATCAGGTCTCATGCAGGTACAGTTTGTAAATCATTTAGTTCATGAACTGATTATTAGTAAACTACTTTAAGATCACTTGTCTATCCGAGCTGGAACAGTTGTAGATTTTGCCTAGATAAGCTTGATAGATCAAATAAAAAGGGTTATTTTACGGTTTCTCTAGTTTGGTGTAATCAATTAGATCCAAGCCCATTACTCCATGACTCCTTGAAATCTTAATGGAGGTTGTGGATTCAGTAATTTGAAGATAAGTGAAAGAAATAGAACGTATGGTGCTGTTAGTCATATGTGTGAATTAACAGAAGAAGTGTTCATTTGATCCCTAAACTACCACTGAAAAAGCGTGTATTTTAAATTTAAAGATGTAATTGATTTATATCAATTTCATATGATTAAATGTCATATGTTAATTTGGTTTCTTTGGCATTACAATTTGCCTTGTTTTAAATAAAGTACTTTCCCGTAACAAAAACGGACTTGAATTTCTTCATATATGTGTGTTACTATCTCAATTCAATTCTAAACTTTGTTTCTTTAATGTTCAGTAATAACTCGTCTATGTTCAAATATGTAATCTGCATTTCAATAAGCTTCTTCTTTTTCAATAAGACTTCAAACGGTGACTTTCATTCAAAACTATAAATGTTAAATTCAATGCTATGGTATAAAGTCTAAAATAATGCTAACTAGCAAATTAGGTAAAATCTAGACGTTTATATAAAAGGTAGCTGTTGTAGAGGTTTCGAATGACTGGTGGATCATTAGTTTTAACTTAATAAACCTCTAATAATAACATATTTATTCTTATATGGATTTGTTTTTTAAGCGTAATATCAGTATGAAATTTCACTGAAATATACAATTTGTTATTGTTTGCATAATTCCTTTGCTAATATTTTAATTCAATTACAACCAGTATTAGTTGACATATTTGCACTCTGTGACTCTACACAAATATATATCAGATTTGTAGCTATGGAATAATACTTGTCAAGTAGTTGGGTTACGTAATAATAACATGATATTGCATTGTTTACATAAGAAGACTGAGTAATTGAGAGAAACAGGTCTATAATAATCAAAGTAATTATTCAGAAAATCAAAAAGTTTTTACACCGGATAATGCTTTAAGAGAACCAACAAAATATTATCATGAAAGACCAGTAATACAGTAGTTACGTAAGAATCAATAGACGAATAATAAGAATTTGTAAAAATGTAGTTAGAAGAAATTATGATATGATCAGTATTGTTTTAAAGAGATAGTTGAGTTTTCACCGAGATCATGAACTGACCAATGTTATATCACCATTGAAATCATGGGAACACTGAACTTCTGCATCGTCCTAGTAGAGTGCTTTTCAGTAATGTTTATCTACAATCTTGTTCGCAGTACGCGAACCCGGGACCTTCGGTTTCCTGAGAGCGCATAATATCAAAACTACTGAGCCGTGATCTAACAGTGTTAGTATCTTCAACTAATCGACGAGATTTGATGACGATCTTATATTGTCTGCCTGACACATGATACGGTTGAAGTCTATTATATCTAATTAGTACAGTACCATGGAAATGAGCATATTGTTCTACTGCAGTCTTTCTGTGTGTTCCTCTTTTTGGTATTACATCTACTCTGTTTGTTCGCTGGACATCAGAAACGATGTAATAGTTCTCCGTCCCTCCTCAAGTGTAAAACTAATAGATGGGTTAACGTTATTAAATATATTAAGACTAAGTGCGCATTTTAAATTCCACTACCAAACCTATTCATCACCACGTGAAATCCTTGAGAATTAATTGCTCTATTGAAGTAATTCATACAATTTCCACAAATGCCAAAAGAAATTGATGAATTACAGACTTAAGCATCAATAGAAAGATCCAAACAATCAACATCTATATGAATTATATATATAGTTATACTGATATTCACCTATTAAAATATTTCTGTTATATTCAATGTTAACAAAGATTGTGGCGTCAGCAACAATATTTTCTTTTTTGTTTTCATGCTTATGTAAACTATGCTAAATCTTAAGAGTTATATTTTTTACTACATGTTTTATAATTCATTCTTATTGATTACAACTTAATATACACGTATTAGAGAAACATTCTTAACATTGTTATTATATAACTAAGTTTCATGAATGAAATTAATGATGACAAGTTATGTATAAAATTGATCATAATTTACATACAATAAAATTTAATTTTATTTCTATGTTGAAATTCTTGTTTAGTAGCTTGGCTTCATTTCATCGACATATCATTAACAATGTATGTAGTGTATTTAACCATTCATCTCTAAATACATTAGGTCGATATTAATAGTGGGTGGTTTAACATATATGTATAAATATATATATGTGTGTGTATGTGTACCACTATCTTATTGTTGTTTTGCTATTTTTTTTAAAAAAATAGTTGCCAGTTGTTTACCGACTTGCAAATACTTTTGACTAACTGTAAATGCAAACACCAATATACTGTATGTATTCTGTGTAAACGTTTTGTGAAATAATTCAAAATTCTTGTTTTGTTATTATTGACACCGTAATATATTGTACAGTTAAACAAAATAGAAAGTGTTTGTATTCTTTGTTATTGAAAATTTAATTTTTAGTCTGGGTTATGCATACAGGAGGTCAGTCACGGCCCAGATAATCCAGTGGTAACGTCTCTGATTGTTGAGCTGGGTGATACGGGAGTATGAGTTTCGTCAAGTTTATAGGTACAACTTACTGACGAATGCCGACTAGCATGAAATCCAGGTTCAGGGTTTCTTGTCAACTATATGTAACAACCATATTATCTCAACATAGTGCACACAATGTCGAGTTATCTAGACTAGTGGCCATATTGCAACTTGCTAGATAGGATTCGATCTGAATTTAGAAGGACCTGAAACACATGACATTGATCACTACCCAGTGATCAATCAACTGTAGAGAATAAACTAAAGAATATCTTAGTTGGTAAATATTTAAATGTTAATCATTCAAATATAAGAAAATACAATATTCATTTATGTGTTAGATTGAAGATGCCTTAGCATTTTCTAATGTAGTAATTAATTTATTCGTATTAAAGTGACACGTAGATATTTACTCTGAAGTTTAAGAGATCAATTTTAGCTGTTGTGAACTGATGAATCATAGATCAAATTCAAAACTAACCACTTGTGGCACTTATTACATGAAATCCTCTGACAAATATAACTTGAAATGGTTTCATTCTAAATCTTTGTTGAACGCAACAAAATGAAAATCTTTAGTTAACAGTAAATTTAGTGAGATTATTTATTTTAGTTGTCATGACGTATCATGCACTTATTTATTGATGTGCCAAAGAGGAATATTACACCGAATTTCTAATACATTTATTTCGTTGTAAATTTTTGTGGTAACTGAGAAAATCATAATGCATGATTTTAAAATTTGTTTAGTTACATGTCTTTTTTTGTAATTAGAACGCATGGTTAGAGATATACTTACGTATAAATCCTACTTGAGTGGGGACTGTAACTATTTTTGAATTTAGAACCACAGTATATTATTCTATCCCTTTTACAAAACTCAAAATAATAAGATTTAATTAACATTGTTGATATGCCATTTATGTACTACGTATCCAGATAATTTAACTTCAATATTCGGGTGTATTTTCGCCATGTAACCAATATGAACAATTTGTACAGTTCATTTCCATATTATACGTTTTCATTCTACGTCATGTATTTATATTCTAATGAGTT